CACATTAGAACACAACAATTCCAAGAATTATTAACACAGATGGACACAATACAAAGACAATCAATTGACCAAAACTTACGCAAACTTGCCGAAACCGCAGGATTTGCAGACATCTATACGCAAGACTATAGCGGATATTTTAAAGACATTAAAGATTATATATATCTAAACGGTGAAAAATACCGTCCCCAAGATATATCACCTATCAATATTTTTAGCTTTGTTACACTCAAGAATGAAATACTTGATTTTCTAGGATGGCCCTACTACATCTTAGAAAAATTAACTATTTTATACGCAATGTTTAACTTTATTGGATTTCTTTTCTCACTTTTAAAAGGAATCTACAACACATGTGCTATACACACACAAGTAAACAGACAAGCAAGTGTAGCACGCATACTATTTGCAGGATTTTTTGGAATTTTTTCTACATCAATAAACAAAATTCTTTTAGATGCACAAATAAAAGAATACAACACAAAAATAGCAACCAGACAGAACACATACGACGAAGAACATAACAATGTAGACACAACGCCAACAGCACCACAGTTACCACCCCTAGCACATAACCATCCATTATCCCTAGTCCCACGTAATTTTCGAAATTTAGCCATAACACATAATCAAAATTTTAGACCAACCATATCACAAAGTCCCATCCAACATATAATGCAACACCACTCACAAAATGAAAATACTTATGAACAAATTATAGAACAACCCCATACCACCGCTTTTCAGTCTCAAAATAATAATTTTTTTAGCCCACGATGAGCCGACAACTTGGATCCCTACACCGTTCAAATTCCCATCCAACCAACCTCACTACTCCAATTACAATAATACCACTTTTTGCTTTCCCGCCACCCGATTTCCCAACCAGTAATGTAACATCAGGCATGAATTCCGATACTAATTCACACATCTCAGTTTTATACTCCACCTCACAACTCAATAACCCGAATATTGAAACCCCCGATGAATTTGCCGACTCTGAACCATCTCCATCCAATAATTTTCACACCAACCCCTCAAATTTTTCCCAACCCCCTTTTCAACCAATACTACCAAATAACCCTGTTCCAACCAATTCTACACCCTCTTATGCTTCCCAAGTCACTCCAACCTATTCTTCACTTCATTCAGACCGATCATCTAATTCTCCAGATACCCCCCAAATCTCCCCAGAACTAGATAATTTTATTACCCTACAACAACAACCCTACCACCTTGACACCCCCACCATAAACCAAATTTCATCCACAATAGATTCATCCAACCCTTCTACCCCTACACCCTCTTCAGTTTATACCGAATCATTAGCACCATCATCCACATCTACTGAATCTTCACTCAGCACTAATAGAGCTTACCGCACTTTTAAAAGAAAGTTCCCCAACCATCCTTTCCCAGCAAAACCAGGAACAGCCCGTGAATATATAAATCATCCAAATCACACTAACACAAAAGAATTTTTAGCTATCACTTTACCCTCATTTCCACAATACACCTTAAACACACCTCACGACACTAACGAAACACGTAACTTTGTAGACGAACACGTTTTAATGCCTACACTCCATTGGACATCATATTATCATTTTACTAATCCCCTTTGCCTACCTTTATCTAACACTCACATCGATATAGAACGAAATAAAGACATGCTATATCGACTCACTACACCACTAACACCTAGACAATTTACTTACATCGGATATAAAAAATCACTAAAAACATACACTGCACCCCGAGCTAACGAATATACGCTAGAATATTACGATCATAACATCATAAGAACTAACCAGGATCAATTCTTAGACGATGAAGGCTTTGCTAAACCACAAATCACAGAAAAATTTTTCATCACAACACCATATATATTTACACTCAATATCTTTGATCGCAAATTTGACCACATCATCTCAGAAGCACTAACAGACACACAAGCATACGAAAGTTTTAAAGAACGCTTCCAAATATTTTCACTAACCTTTCATTTCCTTGCACCACATGAAAGAGATTTGCACTGCTCACACGATATTATGTTGCGTACTAAACAAACTCACACATATACATATTATCGTTTTATCCAAAATCACTTCGACCTACACACTCCCTCCAGACAACCACACCACCGTTTTCAATTCATCAATTCCAAATACACCTCACCATTCTTTCTTAACTTCACATATTGCATTAAAGACACTAACCTTCATGGTATTCTTCGAAATTATGATCCCATAACCCAAATGTATAATTTTTGTCCCATCACCAAGACCTTCAACGCAGAAGAATCCCGACCCTTCCTTATCCCACACGAGTTTGTTCAACCTATAGAAATCCCCATTTTAGAATTCATCCATAACACTAAATTCAATCACAAATTATATAATCTAAGCCAAAACACACCTTATGAATTTGCAGTTGGCACTGAAGAACTAACCACCATTAAAGCACTTCAATTGCTTTGGCCACTGCTTCAAACTAAAAATATCATCCGCATCTTAGCTAAATTACTAACAACTTCAGATCTCATCCACGACATCTTCCCCCACGGTTTCTTCCCCGACGACTAACAGGTAAGTATGAATTATACATATTATTAACAAATTAAAATAAAAATTAGAAACTAACCATTCTTTATCCATGTCTTATTTAGCATTTTAGCCTCCATCCAACGATCATCTGAAAAATTCACAAAAGAAAAATAAAAAATAGCAAACTTCTTCAAAACTGTTTAAAACCCTATTAATTTTTTGCACCAACAATTAAATAAATATAATACCAATGCAGTAATTTAATTTATAAATTTTTTCCCCACAAGCAATAAATTTAATTAGGATGAAAATTTGTAACTTAATTTTTCCCAACAAATAGCAGTAAAATTTGAATTTCTATGTAATAAATTGATAAGACGAAAATGCAGTACTAACATTTTGATATTTCCATTCATTCGCACAAACATTCTATCCACACTCGCACAGCTCGCCCACGACGAATTGTTTAAAATAATGAATTTCAGTTTCAAGTTTTCACACTCAACAACTCTAACACAAGATAACACTTTCAAACTTTCCTTTAACCCGGTTGGAAAGGAATTATATACTAAACAACACTAACCAACGCAGCTTACTAAACACCACAAATCATAGAATAACAGCATGACTAAGAAAAGGAAACCAACGGTACCCAAACCGGATTAACCCAGTTTAAAACTGGATAATTTATTCTTTTGAAGACTATTATAAAGTCTAAGAAAGAAATAATAAAACACAAAAAAGTCGAAAGACAAACCCATACCACAAACAATTTGATTTTTGGAAAAAGGACACAACCAACAAAACATAAGAAAAACCACAACAAATCCAACATAAAACGTTATCACATAACAGGACCTCTCACAAAAACCGCATGCAATCATACTCCCACTCCTGGCCTAACCCACCAGAAGAGGACGTCCTGAGCATGCTATAGCCGGCCTAACCCACCGCGCTACATCCACGCTTTGTGACACACACTCCTATTTTTAATAAGAGCTACTCAAGGGTGAGTAACTCTTCAAAATAACTGAACTAAAACAAAAAGCTTTTGTGAAAACAACTAACCAAAATCATAATTAAAAAACATTAAACTAATAAAAGTTTTATAAAATGTAAATTATATTATGCAATATATAGATCAGCATACAACACCAAGGACGAACATCCAAAGACAAAACGACCCCACCACACTCGAAAAAGAATGGCCAACCACAATCGATATGCCGCTCACAAACACAACTCAAAGGATTTAGAGTACGACTTGACTTCGCAGAAAAGGACTTCATTGAACTAGACCAATGACCACCTCGATGTTCAAGTATACGTACAGATCCGAGTAACCAGGCATCCCCTCCACGCGCAATCTCCACGCCATTCCCAGACAAGATCAAACACAAAGAAGTTCTCATCAATGAAACAGAAAAACCTGACATAGCCAACCATTCTGAAATCAGATTTGAGTTTGTTGCGAAAACCCAGTCGTTGTCATGAGAAGACACAACGATTGAACCTGGAACTTCTCTAACAAGAGAACCCAGAAGAAATATGATGTTCGCCAAATACCAACGTCCATCATCCATCCTTTGAATTACAGAAAGACTATTCTAAAAAAACTCTGTAAAACCCGGATGGGTGGAACCTGATCTAAACTACATTTTATGATTGGATAAATTAGATATTTTACCAATGTAAAGTATTTAATATTAACCAATCATGATCCATCTGACTAACAATCCACTTATTTGTAAGTGCTGAAATTACTTGTAATTTCAGCACCAGAGAGATTTGAATTTAACTTAGAAATTAGTTGAACTCTCCCGAGTACTTCAGCAGCCGCAATAAACCAGTATACCCTAGATCTATTGAGCCTAGCAGAGACCAGTTAAACAACCTGAGACTAGATAGTATAAGAGTAAGATTAGGATTGGTATTAGACTAAGAAGTTGCACGAATCTATCCGGCCGAAAATAAGATAGCGTGACGAGCAGACGGTGTACCCTATCCGAAATTACTCTATGAGTTATACCCATCGGTCCTAACTCAATTAGGTCGTATGACCCAATATTTGTTTGTTTAGACCAGACCCTTCCTACTATAGGACTGTTCTGCTCATTGACCGGTCAACAATTTTCACACATACCTCTTTCGATGATCGAAATGCTAGCCTTTAACACGTTTTTATACCACTAAGATTATTAGGCCCCGAGTTTATAATCAAAACTTTGTTCACCTGCGACCATTTCTCATCAAGTTATGGAGGTTTAGAAATTGTCAACTTTGTCAAAATGCTGGAATAATTTATGCGCACTTCGAAACACTATTTATAATTCAGGTGTAAGTAAAAACAAAAATAACACTTGTAGAAATTTAAAGTTTGCAAACATATCAAAAAATATATTACACGCAACGAATAACTTTTTCTGAAAATATTGTAATTGACGCTAAGCTAACCCTGGCAGTGTCTCGCATGATGTAGGATATCATGATCTCATCTATCTTCCTGCCTCTGATAGTCACATTCTTGGCCAGGTCAGTCACTGTGCCACCCTCACATAGCTGAATCGAGCAATACAACGAAGAACTATTAGAGAGTAAAAAACACTGCTCACTCATAAAAATCAAATTATAGGAAAAGACAGCTAAATTTTGGAGCAAATATTCAGGGAAACTCTCATCAAAAAACATGCAGTTTTCATAGCCCATGAATATTTATTTCCATAAATGTCAAAAAAAAAGTGTCGAATTAATAAGCTTTTCATGAGCTAAAGATATCATTGTAGCAGGTGATTTTACCTCAATCGCTATCCAAATCTGCTTTGGTATATCCCCAGGAACCGCCAGCGTCGTCACAGCCGGGCTAGTCCCTCCACCTCCGGTACCGAGCCCATTGTGTAGAAATGCCCCATAGAATTCGGGTAGATTGGGATGTCCGTTTCCCTTGGCCAGGACAGAGTACTCCGTGTCTATTTCTTCAGCCAATTCCGAGGAGTTCTCCATAATCTTGATGGCCACCAGTTTACCAGTAGAGCGAATACGCGCCTATAATACGAATGGTCTTCAAAAAAATTTTCACCGCAATTAAGTAAAGCTTTCGAAATGAAAAAAAACGATGTCAGGTCTTGTACCTAATTCCTTCAAATTTTTCATTTTTTGTGTGCATGCGAAGCTGCTTTTGACAACACCAGCCAAACATCAACAAGGAGTTTTATAAGGGCAGAAAACGTGAAAAGAGGCCGTATCAAAACAACTCTAAAAAGAGGAAATTTTCTAATCAACAAAAGTCAAACAATCATCCCCTTCCTGATTTAGAGTACATGAAGGCTTGTATCATAAACACAAACATTAACGAAAGAGCTTAGATTCAGCGGTTACAAATTTCTTGAATTCCGACATAGAACTTGGAAGAAGAAATTTTTTCTGAATATAATGGTAGATATGCAGATATAAAAACTTTAACATGAAGCACCAGAAACAGTGAAAGGACAGTTAACGAACTCATTTGGGTTACAGAGTACGGCCTGTTTTATCAAATGAAATACAAAAAAAATTCTGATCTACAAAAAAGAGAAAAAAATAAGCATTGAAAACATAGATGAAAAAACATAATGCAGCAGATAAATGGCATTGTCTAGACAGGTGACTGACATACGATCCGCGCTCTGCATTAATAATTTTTAAAAAATTGTTCAATCGTAGCCAGTATAAAAACAATCTGAATAAGATAGAAGTTCAAACTTATCCCCGAAATTTCTGAAACTCGCTAGTCGTAGGCACCCCTAATCGGTTTCAAAAATAAAACTTGAACTTGTTAACTTTAACTGCACACAAAACTGAACGTGTTCGATTCCAAAAAATTCGAAATGAGTGACCACGTATTAACATAGTCATTAGTTGCGTAAGAATTAAAATTAATCAAGAAATTTTGAAACGAATCTAAATATGTTTCTAGCAGGAAAAGTGAGAAAAAAACGCACCGTTCAATTTTTTCGTTCAAGTAACACACCGTTATGAGAATTTTTGAACTATTTATGAACGTAAGTAACGACTGAAAAGTGGTTCATTCAAAATCAATGCTAAATTCCGCATGAGCTTCCACTAGTGTACCCACACTTGGGGAAAAAACCGCCCTCGTCCATAGTTCCCCTGTTGGTTTAGAGCAAAAAGTTTCCCGTTCGAAATCTAATACCAAGATAATAACTCATTGCCAGTTTAACGTGTTGAACTATGTACTGTGTTGAAATATTTATCAAAAAAAATAATAAAATAACAAGGATAGCCGGTTGCTGTGCAAGTAGCACAGAATCTTCCAGCCATATTCATGAAAAGTACAAATATAAGTTCTTCAAATTAAGGTCGTATTTGTAGATGGTGTCATGTAAAAACTATACAGACGCGTGAAAAGTTAGTAAGTTAGGCATAATCGCCAGGGGATATCTTGAAAAAAAATAACAAACAAAAATAAAATAAAAACATTTGATTTTTTTCCTGTTTTTTTAACAACAAATTTTTCTCGCCATAGAAAAATCAATTATTTCAAATCTAAATAACCAATTTAACAAATTCTCATCACTTTATTTGGTCGAATTTAAACAATAAATCATAGAAAAATTAAAACGGTTTTTCTCGACACTGGGACTTTTTTGAATGTCGTTCGAAGCACGACTGAAAGAGCTTTTATATGTTATATCACTCAAATCAGTCCGATGATTGTTTGTGGTACCTGATTTTGATTGAAAAAAAAACTAAAAGACACCCGAATACAAAGTTTATCCCCATTTTCAATGGTCGGAACAACAAACAGACTAGCACCGCCAGCAAAAAGCCGAGTATATCAACATTGGGAGAACATAATTTGTTCAAAAACGCACCACTTGTTCAAAGCCTTTCTTAAAGACTAAGACGGCTTTACGCGCGCTTACAAAAAAAATCTGTTTTGAACAAAAATCTATTGCTTTATAATTTTACTGATGCAGTTTGAGAAGAATTGCTCAAATTTATCTCAACCAATTTAAAATTTCAGAAATTCATCTGTTCAAAAAAAGAAGACGTTGATGATAATGAACTCGAAAACAAAAAAAAACTACTGACTTTTTTTTGCAATTTTTGACTTCTAAAAAACTAATAACATCAAAATTTATCGACTGACAGGTTGTATGAAAAACAAGCCAAACGTAAAATCAGGTACATGTTCCCTATGGAATTCTTTAACTCCGAAAGGTGTTTTGAAAAACTTTTCAACGCTATTTTTGAAAAACATTTCCATTAACAATTAATTGATGAACAAGCTAAACAGCTATCGTTTTTCTCTATTACAGAAGAAAACTACAAACGTGGTATAAAAGGTGGACATTCGCAAGCAGTGCCAGATTTAGGATGGATTTTTCCTTACCCAAGAAGTTGGCATCCTCCGCTATTCAAAAGTTGGCATCCTCCGCTATTCAAATTTCGACCAATCGAACTCACAAAATTGCTACGCTCGCACCTGGCACCAAACAAAAACTATTTCGAAGGAGAGCAAATTAGAACAGTTAGATTTTAACAGTACTTTCGGAGGATCAATTTGAACGATCTAAAACTCGATAGATTATTTTTGCAAGCATAACATTGAAAACAAGGAAATTCTGTGCTGAAAACTTGCGAACACCTACGACTACGATCTGAAAACCAACTGATAATGAACACAACACCAACCAATCAAACATAGAGAAAAAGAACAGAACGATATTTAAGTGCCAAAAAACGAGCTTGAAAAAAACGAGATCGCATTTTTCAAGTGACGAAAGCCTTATTTACAAAACTTTTCATTCTTTTACTTAACTCACGAACCCAATTGTGTTGTTACTGAGAAAGTGTATAACTCGTATAAAGAACAAAACTCATAAAAGCATAGCCGAGAGCAAAAAAAAAACAGATTAATCATTAAACAAAGCTTTTAGATTTGGAATTTTTTCCTGTCAAAAAACTTTTGAAAAATTTATCAAACAATCCATGTAACAAAAAGCAATTTCGCCAATATAAGCTTCGCAGAAAAGAATTTAGACGAGCATACATACTGGAACTTAAATGGCATCAACCATTTAAAATGATGAGGAACTTGGTCTTGGCGTATTTTTATACCTTTTCCCCAAAAAAATCAGATAGCACAAAAACTCATCAAAATACATCAAATTGTAGTCGTGAACGACATTAAAAAATTTCCAGCACACAGGTGAAGCTTCGCTTTGCACTACTTGCGATACAAAATAAGATAGCCGCTCAGTCGAAAAAACAATGGAAAGTGTCAAAAAAATCTGAGCAGAAACCCTTTAGGCCAAATACCTGAGCAGAAACCCTTTAAGCCAAAAACATTCAAAAAGGACTTAAAAACTAAAAACGTTTTTTTGAGTCCCCTCCCTCAAAACACGCATACACGCAAACGAGATTTATTTCGATCATCAAACGAAGCAAAATGAGGCCACTAAGCTAATATAAAACAGGCCAAAACAAACAAAGCCCAAAAAAAAGAAATGAAACAAAAAAGTTGGTATATTAGAACATAGTATATTCGACACAGACGCGAAGTTGCACTTCCTATACAAAAGCAAAACAATGACCAATAACCTTACTGGGAAAAACTGCATGAGTAAATATTTGAGTCTATATAATTTCTTAAGTGACGCCAGCCAATTATGACCCATTAGCAGTACCAGTCAGTTTGAAAATAGAAATTTACCAATTAACATGCCTCAATTTATAGAGCGGACGCATTTTAACTAGTATAGAAAAAAGTTTATTAAAAACATCCGACCCAGCCCGGGTTTTTAACCCTCTTATTTTATAGCGGGTCTCCTTCCCTAACTCTACGCTACAGATCCATGATACCTTGAAGCTAAAGTGCTAATCGTAATATAATAGTCTGTGTTAATATCCTTAGCATTGACTGTACTTATTAGCTGGTTATTGATCTTGTGCACTTTCAAATTGAACAATAATATTTAGGACTTATTTTGGAAAAAAAAGGAGAGGTCATACTATCACACAAGCTTTGTTTGCGTAAAAACGATGGAAATTTGAAAATCTACCAAAAATTTTATAGTATTTCAACAGACGGAACCCTGAGATTTAGCCTGTAGAAAAATTATTTACGGGAAAAGGTCTAGTTTCCGGTTACAATACACTAGCTATCGCAAGTGTAGAGAAACTTTCTCGAGAGAAACTGGCTCGAGAAATTTTAGCTTGTTGGTCTAAATTCGAGCGAACAAAGCGAGCGGCGTGAAAGTTATTTTGAGCAATGGATTAAATGTTTACCTCAAGCAAAAAGTTTTAGAGTTCCTTTCAGCTCTTTTCCGGCAAAGCTTCGAAGAATCCATAAAATAGCCAACTGACATTTGGAAAAGAGTAATGAATGCAAGGAAACTGAAAAAAAACTGACTTGTTTTTTTCTTAAACTTTCAACTTTTGAGTTCCCAAGAAAAAAACATATCACCTTAAAGCTCTTTGAAATTGTAGAACAATTTATGATGGACAATTTTTTGTTATAATTAACCCAATTTGAAAAAAATGGATCAATAGGCAAAACTTATATTTCGCAGGGAAATCTGATAATTAATTTCCACTTTCGAAATTAGAAGTTGATCACGTTTTTCGTGACCTTTACACTTTTGCTGTTCAATAGTGGAGTTTGATTTCCTTTAAACAATGGAAATGCACTGAACTCGAAAAAAAAATCACCAGTCAAACTGCGAAGAATCAAAACTGAGTGAGAAAAAGTTTTAAAACTTTTTCCTGAAAAAAAAAAATCAGCAAGACCTATATAAGAGTACCCACTACGTTCATTACTCGTAAAAATATAACTATATTTATATTTAACTACGTAATATAAAAATTAGAGCTTATTTTTTCTTGAACTTATTATTACGACTTACAATAATCAGTATAGTTTATTGAAGTCAATAAAAAATTTACACACTATTTTCATTTTTTCCCTCTTTTAACGCAGAAAAACAATTTTTGAACAAAAATCATTTTTAGTAATTTTTTTTACTGTAGTTGAAGCCTTCTGTGCAATTGCATTGTAACTGGCTATCTATATTTTATAATGGGACCTATTACTAGTTGATAGCCAGAGCTAAGCATCCGACATTTATATTCCCTGTAACCACAAAAAAACCCACACAATCTACTCTGATAATCGAATTACGAAATCCTCGGAAACTGCGGCATTTGGCTTCGTACCCTATCCCAATCCAAAGTCACTTAACTTAATTACGTAACCATGGCGCCTAGGAAATTTCTACTATCACGCGTACTCAATCTTAGATAAAAGGTAGGAATGATGATCTTTAATGAAGCGCATAGTTTGAATCACACTATTTATTCGACGAATCTGCAAAAATTTGCAATTAAATTGGCGACTCTGTTTGAAAAAGATTACGTCATTTGGGCGCCTCCAAAAGGACCAATTCGGAAATCGCAGAAGACTACTACGCCCAAAAACTTACCGAATAGAAGGTAGTTTTTGAATGAAGGTTTTTTGTTTGATGAAAACTTGACAACTTAGTTCCTACCAAAACTGCGCAACCAGTGCGTGGTTCAAAAATACGAAGAAAAATGAAAAAATATTAATCCACCCTTCCCCTCCCCCTCAGCTACCTCTCAAAAAAATATTCCTATCAGCAGCAAAGACTCATTGGGGTTTACGAATTTTTTTTTTCATCAGTAAACCTTAAACTCGACATCAAATAGCAATATAGTAACCATTTATCTTAACCCGAACAAATTTTGCGGGCACTCCATGTTAGTAGAAAAACTTTTCTAACATTCCAAAAGATTCGTTTTCATGAAGGCTACTGCAATCTGCAATGTTCATACATTTCAATAAATATGATACCATCAAGCAGTTCAAACATCTTGTTTGTTGCTTTGCTATGCATTGCTTGATAGATTTATTTTACAAAATATAAGTATAGTAATAATTAAATCATAAGTATATAATTTTACGGACAAATTTTGAAAACAAAAGTTACCTCATGTTTCTCGACTCTGACTTGACCCTACCTTGTACACTTCTCCGTAAGTTCCTTCTCCGATCAGTTCCAGCACCTGGAACACGGACTCCGGGTCAGATCCAGGCTCCACCGCAGTGCCTGGAAGAGCCATGAGACCAGCGGGCGAGGGAACCCTCATGGAACTCATTTCGATGACAGGTGTCAATTAGGCACGCAACATGAATTCAGTAATGATGTGCTTTTCCAGTCACTCTTGATTAACTTGGAAATAGAAATAGAAATTTTTGAAATTAAATTTCAATATTTTCTCGCTCTTATGTGACAACGCTAATCAAAAATTGAGTGCAAACTAAATAAATTTATGAATCTCTTTTTTGTAGCACAAACTTATACAGGGAGTCTAATGGACACAACAATTCACGAAGACAAAGCTTGGACTAAAAATATAACGCTTTTTTGTGTTTGTTTCGTTTTGAGCTGTATTGGAATTTAAACAGTGGCCAATTCATAGCACTTTTTTTTGTTTTCAGAGGTAGTTTTCCCTCTGCGATGAAGCGATAATGGAAATGGTCCAATTTCAGCAGCCATATTCTATATAATAATACATAGCAAACTAGTTTCCTGTTTCGTTCCCATAGAAATCATACCTGCCGCACTGCTCGTTTTTCCTGAATTTGGTTGGAAAGGGAAAGATGAATGAGGAACAGAAGACGTTTCCTGTTTCAAAACATTTGAACAGCAAGTCAATTCCACCACTGAAACCATCTTGATTGAATATAGAGCTGAGACGTACATTGAAAATTGGCCCAAAACCGGTAGCCATGATTAATTACCTTAACAAGAAAGGTAATTGACAGATTTAACTAACGAAACTGCTTGCTTCCGCTTTCGGGTAGCTCAAATTGAGCTCCGCCTAGATAAGCAACCAAAGAAACTAGCTTCAACAGAATTCCACCATGCTCCGGTTGTGTAACAAAAACAACATCACGGTCCAAAAAAAAACTGAATTACAATCGCTCATTAACAATTAATATTAAGTTCTTGGAAAACAAAACAAGTACAAGCATGAAAATTATGTTGTTGCGCAAGAAGCACAAAATGTTTCAAAATACAAAATTCGGAACGATTTTTGAATACAAAGCCTACAAAAACTTCAAGGAATAACATTCACACTGAGGTAAAGCGGAGCTTTGCCAGAGAAACGTCTTTTCAGACTGCAAAAAACTACGTGAACTACCTTGATTTGATTAACTGAGCTCATTTTTCCAAAATCGGCAGCAATAAATCTCACAGTAAAACGGAATTTAATCATATATTTCAAAGCAACTTATCGTTTCTACAGCAAAATGATACCACAAGTAAGCTGGATTGCATTAATGAGCTCGAAAGAAAGCAAAAAAAAACAGACCACAAAAAACTCAATCCAGTAACTGCAAAAAACAGAATCAAACAAGGATAGCCGGTTACTGTGGAAGTAGCACAGAAGATTCCGACCATTTTCTTTAAAAAATTAGAAAAAAGTTTTTATCAAATTAGTGTAGTTTTTCTGCGTACTGTGATAAAAGTATCTGACGTGAAACTATGATTTAGGCATATTCGACAGTCAAAAAAATATAGGCAAACTGTGCCAAAACTTTTGTAGAACAATTACTAGAAAACCAAAAAAAATTTTCAAACGTTGTTTTTTGCAGAAAATTTTGATTTTTAGGGCTTAAATTTGGCAAAAAAACTAAGCTTTATGAGCCCAATTTCAAAAAATTCAAAAATCAAAAAGTTCAAACCAGTTTTTCTGGATACTGAGAAAAATTTTTGACAACGTTTTAATTTCGTTCGAATCACGACTGAAAGGCCTTTAATTTGGTATATCACTCGAGCCATTCCGATGATTATTTGTGGCACCCGATTTTGCGTGGAAAACAAGAAAAAGAAAAAACTGAAACACCCGAATACAAATGGTCGGAACAAAAACAGGAGGATATCAAAAAGAACACTAGCAGTGAAAACTATTTTAACTGAAAGATAAAACTTTAGGAGACTTAATTTCATTTAAAAAATTGAACAGAAATCGATTACTCTTTAGAAATTCTGATAATTCAAGAACATAGCCAACAGACAGTTGCAAAACTGTCAGTGAAGACAAGGAAACAAAAAAACTTGAAAAAAGAATAACAAAAACAAAAAATTATTGACAATTGTTTGCCAAAAAAAAACAACTTTCGAATTTTAAAGAAAAAATATGCCCTTAAAGCTCGTCGAATTTCGCGAACAATTTATGGCTGGGGCTTTTTTGATAAAATTAACCGAATTCGAGAAAACTGGATCAATAGATAAAATTTTTATTTCGCTGGGAAATCTGATAATCAAATTCCGTTTTCAAAACAAGAATTTAATCATATTTATCGTAACGTTTACATTTTTGTTGTTCGTTAAAGGAGTTTCCCTTCCTTTTAACGAAGGAAATGAATTGAACTTGAAAAGAAATCAAAAATCAAACCGCAACAAATCAAGATTGAAACAAAATTAAAGACTTTTTCTTCAAAAAAAAAACAAACAAATCACCAAGACATGTATAAGAGTACCCACTACGTTCATTCCTTTGCATTTAGATTCACCTAAAGTGAAACACTAGATCAATAGTTAGAGTTTTTGTTCCGCTGGAAAATAAAAAAAATAAAATCCGCTTTCAAAGTTAGAAGACGATCACGTTTATCGTGATTTTTACACTTCTGCTGTTCGATAGTGGAGAATATCTTCTTTTACTTAAAGGAAATGAACTGAACTTTGAAATAAATAAAAAAATTGACACTTTTTCCCGAAAAAAATAGATAAAAATCATGACATCCTTTATAAGAAATTTTACTACCTTCATCGACTGTTCAAGAAAAAAACAGGAGAAATGCGAAGATTGTCCACACTTAAGCTTTACTAATAGTATCAAGAAACAACATCTAGACAAAAAGAAAGAAAAATTCGAAGTAAAACATCAAAATATCAACACACGCGAAGCTGAGCTTTGCACTATATGCGAATTTAAGAAGAGTTAACATGATAAAAATATGAAAAATACATCTCTCATTCCATTTATTTTCACGATTGATTTTTCTCCATTGCAAAACTTTCACGGATTCAAACATGGAGAAAAATCAATCAAGAAAATAAATGGAGTGAGAGATGCATTTTTACACACACAGGCGAAGCGGAGCTTCGCACCATCTGCGATACAACACAAACATATAAAAAGGTAAAACGAAAAACAATTAGGTGAACCAAAAATAATAGTGGCCAGCTAAAGCTGGAGGTACGTGTTTGACACATTTTGACTTTGTTTTACTGAGTCGGAACAAAATGGGTAACTTCAAAAATAGGACAATGCCCAAAACCTGTTGTTTCTCTTCTAAAATATATGAGTGTGATAAACTTTTGAGATATTGCAATTTTCCCAAGGAAATAACAATTATATTACAAAAAAGTAGCGCAACCAGTTCTTTCGGTAGTACTTTTCATCTTAGATTTGATAGTGTATTTTAAAAAAAAAAGTCAACAAGTTTCGCCAAAAAGATTCAAAAAATGGCCCGAAATTCAAAAAACTTCAATTTCGATATCCGCAACTTTTTCTAATAAAAATACGCTGAGAAAACTTCAGCAGAGAAGATTCCCAAAACCGGATTCACCACTTAACCTGAGAATTGGTAGAGAAACTTTGGTGAAAAAAAAACAAGTTTCCAAAGAACAGTCAATATTTCAAAACTGTTTTGAAAGCAGTTACTTTTTTCTAAAAACTATTTAATGCAGCTTTTAATACAGATAATATTTCTACAAACTGTTAATTCAATTCAGCCCTTGATGGCACACATCTGACTACAAGGGCACAAATCTGACATCACGAAGACATAATTTGACTTTTCCCAGAATTAAAGCCTCTCTGTAAAAATCATTTCAGCGTAACTGTTCATGCAAAAAACATGGAGGTACGTAACTGTTCATAGAGGTTCGTGTTTGACACATTTTGACTTTGTTTTACTGAGTCGGAACAAAATGGGTAACTTCAAAAATAGGACAATGCCCAAAACCTGTTGTTTCTCTTCTAAAATATGAGTGTGATAAACTTTTGAGATATTGCAATTTTCCCAAGGAAATAACAATTATATTACAAAAAAAGTAGCGCAACCAGTTCTTTCGGTAGTACTTTTCATCTTAGATTTGATAGTGTATTTTTTTTTTAAAGTCAACAAGTTTCGCCAAAAAGATTCAAAAAATGGCCAGAAATTCAAAAAACTTCACTTTCGATATCCGCAACTTTTTTCTGCTAAAAATACGCTGAGAAAACTTCAGCAGAGAAGATTCCCAAAACCGGATTCACCACTTAACCTGAGAATTGGAAGAGTAACTTGGGTGAAAAAAAAACAAGTATCCAAAGAACAGTCAATATTTCAAAACTGTTTTGAAAGCAATTACTTTTTCTAAAAAATATTAAATGCAGCTTTTTATACAGATAATATTTCTACACACTGTTAATTCAATTCAGCCCTTGATGGCACACATCTGACTACAAGGGCACAAATCTGACACCGCGAAGACAAAATTTGACTTTTCCCAGAATTAAAGCCTCTCTGTAAAAACCATTTCGGCGTAACTGTTCATGCAAAAAAGATTCACAATGCCTGTAATATCGAGTGAACCTAGAAACACAGATTTTAGGTGAAAAATTTTTGAGAAAAAAAATAAGTAGTTTCAAAAAACGGTTAAAAAAAAACAAGAATTGACTTTTCCGAGAATCATAGCTTTTTGTAACCAAAACATTGGACATAGCCGCTTATGCAACAGAAATTCAATCAACCTAGGATTTCGATTGCATCAAAAAAATTTTATTCGGAAGGGTTTTTTCGAAAACATATCAAAAAGTTCTAACAACGGTCAAAAAATTAAAATTTGACCTTTCCGAGGGCTTTATGTCAAAAAAAAAATTGGTCGTAGTCGCAGAATTTGCGTGAAAAAAAATTGGGCTAGGAGCTTCTCACAACCCGTTTTTTTTTCGATTGAACCCAATATCTAAGATATGGGACGTTAGTTTGCGAGAAAAAACAAAAAGTTTAGAAAAACAGTCAAAAAATTAGGTTTTCCGAGAATGATAACTTGTGTAAAAAGTTTGAGAGTGCCCACTAATTCAGGTGAGCTTCCAACTACCTGTATTCTCTATTGAACCAACAATCTCAGATTTGAGAGGGTAGTTTTTGAAAAACAAAAAAATCTAAAGAGATGGGTCAAATATTCCACCACAGATTTTTCGAAGGCTGTAAACAGAGGGGTAAAGTAAAAATAGACTAGGTGAGTATGCAGGCACAAAAGAGAGTAGGAGATCTTTCCATTGATATCCTTTTTTGAAAATCGGTGGAAAAAATTGTGAAAAAAAAATCTACTTTTTGAAAAAAAAAATCCAAAAAGTCTCAATAAAAATTACAAAAACCCAATCCTATATTTTTCATAATATATGTTTTTATCAAATTAGATTTCTAGGAAAATATGCCGAGCAAGAAGTTCAGTTTAAATTACCAACGGAACACAACTCACTAATCGATAAATGTAAGCCCATATCAACTAAGCTGAATGAAGCTTTTAGGCGAAAAAAAACAATAAAATATACGAATGCTATTAAAATTAAAAATTGCATAAATAGCTCAAAACACTAAAAACAATTACATTGAAAATTGCGTACAAAAAATCAATTCCAGTAAAATTAAAAATTGCAGAAGTAACTCATAACACTAAAAACAATTACATTGAAAATTGTGTACAAGTAATCAATTCTACGATGTGGCAATTAAGCCGACAAAACATAAGTAGACAATCTATCTAAGCCGACAATTTTTGGAAAGGATTATTTTCAGTTTGAAAAAAAAACAGATCCTGGGCAGATTCGAACCCAAAGACATCTGCGTCTCAGGGTTATTCTGTGTCTGAGGGTTATTCTCAGGGTTATTCAGTTCCAGGCTAAGTGCCGGACTCGCATAGAAGTTTGAATTCATTATGAACTAAGATACAAGTGATTCTAATAAACAGTTGTTACCCGAAAAAAAGTATAAACCAGTTTGATAACGCTTGCTCATCGCAAGCGTAATCAACGAATCGCGTGAAGCCATTCTGTCAGATGATACTAAAAAATTGTGCTTTAATTTACCCGAAAATGTATCTGCAGAAAAGATTGCTAGTAGCTTTAACTCCGAGCGTTGAACCAAAGTAATACAAAAAAGAAAAAAACTGGTAAATGGAAAATCATCTGATTTTTTAACTTTTCATAATTTTCACTACAACTAACAACGAAAACCACTAATCAAAATTCTTGAAGCATCTTCAATTTTTTGCATATCGATGGGAATGAAATCATATGAAACATTAAACGCATATTTTGGCAGGAACAAAAAACAAAACAGAAAACAAATTGCCACAATTGATATTAAACAAAAAAGCTTCAAATAGATTCACACGCAAACGATTTCTAAACCAGCTTTCAAATAGCTAATATTGAAAAATTTAAGCAACAGGCAAGTAGAACTTGCAACAAAACCACATTTCAGAAGCAAGGAAAATTGATTCAGAGAAATGCGAGTTACCAGGGTTGGTGCTCTTTCCTTATCTGAATAGTAAAAACTTCTTCGCAGCATCTTACTATTGTACGCAAGATCCTTTTACCTTTTAGGACAGAAAAAAGTCGCTTTATATACCTCAGTTTTATTGATTCTTTTTTTCACTCTAAATGTAAGCTTTGATAATGTAAATTTTAGCGTTCCATAATCGTTGGAGAATCTGGTTTATGATATCATATCATTTAACTAATTTCAAGTGGTTATAAACATGTCAAGTATCTATTGAGCTATCCTCCCAATCCCTCCCCACGCGAGAATGAGGGGAAGATCCCGTCCTTCAAAACTTTGATCTTCTCTCGAAATCAACGATATCAAGGCCAAACTGCATACAAAACACGTTCAGTACTAGAAACTTACTCTTTGATTCGCTGGCTTAAAATGATGGACCAGAAATATATCAAAGGACATGCAGGAAAAAAAAGCTTATAATATGCTAAAAAATATATGTTGGGCAGACAACCCGACACCTCACCACGCGCCTTAACGAGCATTCGCGGATCTCTACTCTAGTGGGTGAACACATGACACAATGCGTTGGCAACACAGAAAACTTGATCACAAAGATCATAGATCGTTCTAACGACCCTGTCAAACTTTTAACGCTTGAGGCCATCCACATCAACCGACTCAAACCAAGGATCAACAGAAAAGAAGAATACAGTTCGCGCGAACTCACAGTCAAGGTTTAGAAAAACATCTTTATAGTCCCATCAAAGATGACTTAAAGATATCTATATATTTTTCAGATCTCTCGGTGCTATTTTTATACTGTTTTTTATGTTTTTCACTTTTGATTTTATTTCTGTTTGTACACTTTGGATTGTACGTTTATTGTTTTTCCTTTTTTAGACTGATGATGATTGTAATCAATCGAAAACGTTCTCTTAACTAACATTGATTGTTTTTCCTGAGCATGGTAAAAAAAAGTCTTGTACTAACGAAAAACAAATATCTCCCCTTTAACGACCCGATATGCGGCGACTTAGTCGATATAGGAGTAGCCGAAAACTTCTATACCGAATAATAAATTCCAGCAAAAAATAGAGAAATAATAAAAACTCAATTGGTTTGCAACTAACATAAACTTTCGAAAAGACCAGGATTTTAGAATGCAGACATTCTCAAAATGTATGTCGATATGGCAACAGACATGCTTAAAATTGGCCCGTATTTTTTCATACCCCCAACCCAGCACAGAAGCTTCTAATTTTGATGAACAGTTGAAACCTCGATCGGACATCGCTATGAATTATAAAATCACAGATGATAATAGCAAAATCCTAGTCCACAAAATAAATTACATCTAAGTTATTACTGTCACTAATAACTATAACTACAAGAACGTACTTGAAAAACAGAGTCAAAATTTTTAATTATTATACTACCATTTTAATACTACAATACTTAATTTGACAAAATGGCCCCAGTTTTATATTTGCTATATAGTTCATCAAACATATGATTGCATTGGATGTTTGCTTTCAGTTTTGCACATAGAAGAAACGCGCCTGACATTTTCCGATGCAGGCTGTACGTTTCTTCTGGTGGAGGTGTCAATCTATGTTGAAGCATAACTGGAACTAGATTCATTATTTTCTTCGTTGTATCTTGAGCACCGAAATCGAAGGGTCCATCATGTCGGAATGCTTCGCCTAGAACTAACACAGCTTCGCAGTGCGCGTCAGCAAATTCTGGAGTTTCGTATCCTGAAAGAAATCCAAGCTTATTTGAGTAGTCAATTATACCTTGTTTATCATTATCAATCGCACACTTTATAACTTCTATGTAATTTCGAACCCATTCGAGGTCAAACGTACGACTAGCTCCAAAATCAATAAGACATAATTTTTCAGTTTCAGGATTGTAGAGAAAGTTCGCAAAGTTGGGATCCGTTTGCATGAAGCGCAACTCGAACAACTCGGTCAGACATAATTGCAGCATCGTCTTAGCTACTTTGCTTCTAGTTTCTTGGTCCATGTCAATGCACTTATCAACCGTCACTCCTTCAACAAACTCAGTTGTGAGTACTCTGGTCGAGGTTAATTCCGGTATCACTTCAGGAACACAAACATCCTCGTTTGCAGCAAACGCTTTTTTGAACTTCTTTGAAGCAGCCGCCTCTCGCTTGTAATCACATTCCCAAGCCAGTTCTTTCTTAGCAACATTCAAAGCTTCTTCTAAGTAGAGACCACGTGGGATTATATTTGTGTAGTTCAGCACGGCCATCAAAAGATCAATGTCACTATCAATTGATTCAGCTACCCCTGGGTATTGTATTTTCATAGCAATTTTTTGGCCATTCTTTTTCAGGATTCCTTCATGTACTTGGCCAATACTAGCAGCAGCTATTGGCTTTGGATTGAACTCTGAAAGATGATCCATCCAATTTTCACCTAGTGAATCCACGATCTGCTTTTCTCTCTGCTTCGAAGGCATAAAATCGGCACTTTGCCTCACTCTTTCAAAAATTGCCTGAACATCTTTTGATATTAAAGAATCGTCTTGGATGCTTAACATCTGGCCTAGCTTCATTGCAGCTCCTCGGATTTTACAAAGAGTCGCAACGATGCGCTCGATATTGTCGTGCGTTAAAACAAACGTTCTCGGGTCCAAATTTTTAGCATTAGGATCCAGTAATCTTGATGTGAACTCGCCTACAGAGCCTAGAGCAAGCCCAGCTGCCAGCTGACCATAATTGGCGAGTCTGCTTATCCTCGATGATGGTACAGAACTTTCGTTGCTTTCATAACGGCGGATAATACTTCCAGCCGAATCAATTTGACCGAGCAAACGCATGTTTTGCGATAAAGCCAAAGAAGAAAACTCTCTCTTAGATGCGATTGAACTGGTTTGCTTTGATTGGTCATGTTTTGTTTGATTCTTTTTCGCAAATTGTGAAAGATCAGGTCGTAAATCTTCTGATCCCGCTGGAACATTGCTTTCTATATTTATTTCCTTTTCCGTTCTCCTGCTTTCGCACAGACCAAAAACAAAGCAACTGTCTTTCCATTTTTTGAAATTATTGACTTGCCTTGAACAGACACTATTTGCAAGAATATTTGCTCCACGTGCCAAAGCGTATAGCTCTTTGTCCTTCATGATCTACTGAAAAATTACGTTAATGATGTTGAAGTTAATCACAATCAAAATCATGCAGACGGTTATTTTATAGCTTATAAAATACCAACCAACCCCCAAGGTATCAAGCAGTATTCTCCAACTTCTCAAATCTTTTCATCGGAGTCAGAAAAAGCTTAAGCAATATAAGCCAAATGGGTCAATTATGAGCGGAAAAACTCTTGAAAGCAGTCAGTGATTACAACTTTTTCTAAAAAAAAAAAACGGTTTGATTTTAATTCACAGGTTAACTTCTGATCTGTAGGCCTCCCATGCCTCTGTCGACCAGCTCTTTCTTGGACGTCCATTTCGTCATTCCATAAACGATGCGTCATATATTTCAGACGCCCATAGTTTGTCTAGTCTTGATTTGAAAACGTTTACACTCTCGCTTGATATTACTGTATCGGGTAACGAGTTCCAGTCGTTGATGGCTACAACTGTTAAGAAATTTTGTCTCGCAGTAGTTCTGGTCTTCTTGGTCACAATCTTGAAAGGGTTTCTTCTTGTGTCTCTTTCGTTGATTGTAAAAAATCCTTCAGTCGCTGCTGTATTGTATAGGCCGTTCAGAATTTTGAAGACTTCAATCATTCTACCGCGTTTGCGTCTGTACTCGAGTGTTCGTAGTTTCAAAATCTGAAGTCGATTCGAGTTGCTGTATTTGCGTATACCTGGAGTAATGTAACATTCGCCCGGAAGATACATATCGACGGAAAATAAAACTAAGTCCTAAGACGACTGGCTAACGTCTAAACAGAGCTTTACATCCTTTTCACCGTCTCTACCAAGCCAGTACTTTTCGGTGGTCTTTTCTAACATCGGGTCGACAAAAACGTTACTGCTTTCGGCTTCGGTCAAAACACTCAAATTAACTAGATTACATGCAGAAATAGTGAGCTCATGGCTGGGTCTCAGTATGCCCAGATCACGAGGTCACTCCTAAAAACAGGGCTACTACTTATTGTGTAACATTCGTCTACTGCAGTCACACATGAGGCTTAAGAAAAATAGGCCCTATAACCACTGGCTCAAGGGTCAGGGACACCATCTCTTGTGTTTTTCTACCTCAAGAACGGTCGGAGCCAGTTCGGTTCGTTTGTGACATGAGACTACGACCCGTTACAGCTTAAAGGCTACTACTAAAATATCCCCCCACTCTAGAATTAGAAACGTCCCCATACTTAGGTCTCTAGATACCCAAAATACATGAACGCCGTTAAAAACCGGGTTGGAACAATCCGTTAAGTTACTTTTTATTAGACAGTGTAACTTTGATCCATTTCAGATGGATCAACCTAAAACTCGCCTTACCTCAACATAACAATTATAAAACACACTCTAGAAATTTAAATTAGTACTCACATTGTAGCACGCTCAAGAACCAGGAAGTAAATAAGTCGGTAAGCAACTCAAGAATCAATAAAGTAACTAAAATGAGTTTAATGTTAGTCAGTTTTAATAACAAGAACAAGTTTTGTGCCAGTCGGTCATATTTGGAAGTTTGACCTTGAGAAGTGCAGAAAACACTTGATTTTGTAGTGAAATTTAATTTTTCAAAATTTCGAATGGAACATGTCATGCACGATTTTCTCGCGATAACTGAAAATCAGAAAAAGAAAAGAGAACAATTTTAGAACAATTGCGGGAAAGTTGTCAGATAAAAACGAGTGTGAAATTGCAATTCGCAATTTCCATCATAGTGAACAAGAGTAGAGCTGTCCTATCTGAAATAGAAGACAGAGTATTCCCGAGAGAGTAATTATTCGAACTGGACCAGAGTGAACCTTCGACGGAAAGGTGGACAGCTTGAGTGTCCCAATGGTCCACATAAAACTTCGTTCTTGAGTTCAAACTTACCCTTACCATTCAAACTGATAAACATTGAACTTATCTAGTTACTTTAGTTAATTCTAGAGTTGCTCACCCATTTAATTACTTCCTGTGCTTGAGCGCATCAACATGTGAGTCCTTAATTTAAATTTCTAGAGTGTGTTTTATGATTGTTATGTTGAGGTAAGGCGAGTTTTAGGTTGATCCATCTGAAATGGATCAAAGTTCCACTGTCTAATAAAAAAGCAACTTAACGGATTGTTCCAACCCGGTTTTTAACGGCGTTCATGTATTTTGGGTATTTTGAGACCTAAGTATGGGGACGTTTCTAATTCTAGAGTGGGGGGATATTTTGGTAGTAGCCTTAAGCAGTAGCGGGTCGTAGTCTCATGTCACAAGCGAACCGAATTGGCTCCGACTGATTTGAGGTGGAAAAACACAAGAGATAGTGTCCCTGACTCCTGAGCCAATAGTTATAGGGCCTATTTTTCTTAAGCCTCATGTGTGACTGTAGTAGACGAATGTTACATAGTGTTTTTATGGCGCTCCTGGGTGTTTACGACATCAAGACTACGGAGTCGAACCCACTTGAGACAGCTTCGGGCTGAATGCCCATTCTAGAGTACCGGCGGTACGGTTCGACAGGAACGTGCAAACCTTCCGGTTGTACCGTGATAGCTTTTTAAGAAAACTCGAGAAAATTTCCTGGTACGCTCTCCGAACGAGGCTTAGCTAACCGAGTAAAGGGGGGCAACTAGGGGGACAAAAACACGAGCAAAAAGACAAAAAGCAAAACAAAAACCAAAAAAGAATAGAAAAAGGAACAAAAACCATAAAACGAAAAAAGACAGTGACTTTGACACCAGATTAGTTGGATCAAACCTTTATATTAATTAAATAGTATACCCATACTGTTTTACAAGTTCGATCGTTTCGATCAACCTAGCAATTTAAACCAGTAAACTGAATAAAGTGCCCGAAGTGGGGCGTTGTCAAGGGTTTTCAGATAGCTTGGAACTTAGCTGGACCAATAGGAGACTTGACTGGAAGAGGTGACCAGCCAAGTGGGAAAGTGGTTCAGGGACACTTGGCTGAACCAATAGGAGACTGGACTGGAACAGGTGACCAGTCGAGTGGGAAAGCAGCCAAGAAGGATTTGGCAATTCTCGAGTTCTCAAGTTGGGCAGAACGGGTATCGTTAGAATCCACATTACATTATAGGAGATAAGTGTAAAATTGGATAAGCGAAATCCCCCAGTTTTGAGGAACGTTTTTACTTGAGCAGGCCTGGAAACAGGTCTAGGGTTTTCTCTTGAGAGGTTTAGCACCCGGCGCTTAAAGTAATTTTTAGGCTTAAGGGGGGAGGTTAGAAGGGGGACTGGTTAAGTTAGAGGTTGGCGGTTGTAAATTGTAAAAACGGGGAAATTAGAGTAACTAATTAGTCGACATCGTTGACTTAGTTACATTAGAAATTAACACGCGTTGGTAATATTAGGTGGAGATCCAAAATTCAACTCGAGTTAAGACTGGTACGCTGGTTGGTTTGGTAGGGGGGACCGGATATAGACAGCTTTTGTGATACCCCATAAGATCACTAGTGGGGGGAGGAAAACGCGTGGCAATTAGGTACCAGACATTTTTTTTAGACGAAAGGTAGACATTGGTCACCTTTAAATTTTAGGTGGGCTCATTTTTCTGTTTTTATTATTTTTCTTACTTAAAATTTTTGTTGCATTTTATTGAGGATTTGTGTTTGGTTTTATACGAACAGGTGATCACAAGATACCTGCGCACCTACATTGAAATAGAAACAACCAAAAAGAAGAGGGGGGTCAGCATTTGGCTTTTAAGAGAGGGTTTTTGGGAAAATTTTACTAGAGCTTGAGTGGTGGTACAAGGTACGGTGGTTCAAGAAGACCCTACAACGAGGAAGACACTCCGTGACGAGTATTGGGACAGTGGTCTTGGGACAGTGGTCTTGGGACAGGGTCTTGGGACAGTGGTCTTGGGACAGTGGTCTTGGGACAGGGTCTTGGGACAGGGTCTTGGGACAGTGGTCTTGGGACAGGGTCTTGGGACAGTGGTCTTGGGACAGTGGTCTTGGGACAGGGTCTTGGGACAGGGTCTTGGGACAGGGTCTTGGGACAGGGTCTTGGGACAGGGTCTTGGGACAGTGGTCTTGGGACAGTGGTCTTGGGACAGGGTCTTGGGACAGGGGTCTTGGGACAGTGGTCTTGGGACGGGGTCTTGGGACAGTGGTCTTGGGACAGTCTTGGGACAGTGGTCTTGGGACACTAGTCTTGGGACACTAGTCTTGGGACACCAGCCTTGGGACACTGGTCTTGGGACACTACCCTTGGGACACTAGTCTTGGGACACTAGTCTTGGGACACCAGCCTTGGGACACTGGTCTTGGGACACTACCCTTGGGACACTAGTCTTGGGACAGTAGTCTTGGGACACTAGCCTTGGGACACTAGTCTTGGGACAGTAGTCTTGGGACACTGGTCTTGGGACACTACCCTTGGGACAGTAGTCTTGGGACACTAGCCTTGGGACACTAGCCTTGGGACAGTAGTCTTGGGACACTAGCCTTGGGACACTGGTCTTGGGACAGTAGTCTTGGGACAGTGGTCTTGGTACAAGGGTCTTAGGACACTAACGGAGAGTACTGTGATAGTGACGAATAGTCTTGGGACGGTATAGAAATTGAAGTCAAATTACAACAAGTGCGTTTTAAGACAGAATAAGACAAATCGAAATAGGTAGGGTTAAGACCAAATTAAGGAAAATTTTTCGGAGGTTTTAGAAAGAGAATTGGATAAGGTTTTTAACACGTTATACAGAATTTGTTACCACAAAAAATATTTTTTTTCTACCCTTAGAATAGAATCGTGTATATAATAAAATTGTAAATAGAAGCAGTTGTAAATAGAAATAATGAGGCGGAGTAGGGTACCGGTGCTCGAAAAAAGGTCAAGTGGATCAAACACGAAATATAATTCATCGCTGCGCGGAACGACATCAACCGGCCCAAAGATAACGAAGACGAACTTTTCAGTTAACATGGTCAGCACAAGGAGTACAGCGGAGAACAGGGCGAAAGAGGGCACGGAAGGGGAGCGAGTAGAACCCACCATCGAGATTGATCTAGAGACACCCGATCAAAGTGTGGATGAAACAAGGAAGATG